CGAGAGTGGTATAGTTAATGGAGGTCCGTGTGACCAATCTGAATTCTGGGGAATGTCCCTATTTCTAGCCGATCAGCCCAATGGTTGCACCGGTACTACTGGTGTCAGCTCAGGTACAGCTATTTACCGAATATGGACCCTAACCGGTACCTGCGCGACCACATGCCAAGTTTATCAGCTTGGTGATCTTGGTTCATCCACTTACACCCTAAACCCTCCCGTCAATAACAATGGTTTAGTTCAATAATTATGATTTGTTTTTGTAAAAATGATCATCATTAAAACTTTTGCAACACTTGATTGATTAAAAAAATTATTTAATAATTATTAGATTTTTTAAAACTACTACATACTGTTTAATTAACTACTATCTACATCTATATTTTCTTTTCAATAATTGTTGCTATACTTTTGCTGTAATGTTATAAATGACAATTCTTGCCACTACCTACAATTTATGAGAATTAACATTTCATTTAAATGCTTTAGTAATTAATACTAATATTAAAATAATATTTTTTTAAAAAATTATAACACCATATAGTATTCATTCATAACATTTAATTATATGTAAATATTTCATACTAGGTTATTAATAATAACTGAGTTTTTGGACAAAACCGACAATACAATAAGTTATTGGCCAATCAGCACATTAATTTTTTTCAACTAAAATAACCATATTAATAAAATAACAGATTTAATAATGTTTATATAATAATTTCATAATACTCATATAAAAAAACATTTTACTTAAACACAATTTACACATTATTATTTTCTTTAAAAGCGGTTTTTGTTAAATTGAGTGTATTAAAAACATGGTCGATAAACCAATCGGGTGTTATACGGGCCATACGGTGATAGCCATATAAATACCATCTTATTCAAACATGTATTTAATCATTCAAGACCTGGATGTACTTAAATATTAGTAAATTATACAGTATATTGTAAATTATACACTGTATTTATTTTGTGCAATTCATGTGTTGATTACGATACTTAATTAAATATATACAACACTGTATACTACATGAATTTTATAGTTATAAAAGTATTAGTTAATTTAATCTGCGACCAAGTACAATTTTTCAGAGTTAAACTACACTTAATTAATCTGACGTGCACTAAAATTGCACTAAAACTTTAGTGTAGTCAATATTATTGGTTTCATAGCAACCAAACACACAAATAGTATGCAACGAGTTTCAAATCCAACTTTGATTAATGCTAAACCAATGGGGTGACAGTATTTCTATTATATAAACAACTCAAACCTTCAAACTAGACAAAACATTTGGAAAAAACATTTTCTTAAAATACATTTTCATATTATTATTAGCAATTTATTTATAATAGGCAAGATGCAATTTTTTGTACACTTGTATAGGGGTTTGGTTATAGCGTTTAGAGACACATTTATGGCCAGAAAACAGTGCGAAAGTAAGCGCCGATTGGATGGACAGGTTGTAGTGATTACCGGCGCCAACACTGGTATCGGTAAAGAGACTGCCTATCAAATGACATTACGTGGCGCTAAAGTAAGTATCATGATTGTTAATTTGATTTTACCTTATATTATAAGATTGTTTATACTATAAACTACTACAAACTTTATAATTTAATAAATTGTGATAATTTTATTTTGTATTTATTATAATAACAGGTAATCATTGGATGTCGTGATGAGAGTCGAGCCGAGAATGCGATCAAAGATATAAAGCAAAGGAACCCAAAGGCAGACATATATTCACTTCCATTAGACTTGTCTTCACTTCAATCCGTCCGTCAATTCGTGACCGAAATCACGAAACGGGAGACAAAAGTAGATATACTTATAAACAATGCGGGCATTGCTTTCACTCCCGAATGGGCCACCGCTGACGGGTTTGAGATGGCTTTCGGGACCAACCATTTGGGTATTTATTAAATTATTTTTAACACTACTCTTTGCAAAAATACAAAAATAAATAATATTGCTAATCATTAAAAATGCAAAACTATTTACAGGTCACTATCTGCTAACTCTATCGCTGTTACCACTGATGAAACAGTCCATTGGCACCGGACGTGCGGCCCGTGTTGTAAACGTGTCCTCATGTATACACGCGTTGGGAAACATACACTTTGAAAATATAAACCTGCGAAACGGTGCATACCATCCACAAAAAGCGTACGCCCAAAGCAAACTGGCCAACGTGTTGTTCACCAGGGAGTTGGCCCGTAGACTGGGCTCCGATAGCGGGGTTAATTCGTATTCACTACATCCCGGTGCTGTCCAATCGGAAGGCGCCCGGCATATGACAGGTGTGCAGAAATTTTTGGTAAATATTATGCTGAAAGTGATGGCCATTGATGTGGTAAAGGGCTGCCAGACATCGCTGTACTGCGCCCTCGACGAGGGGTTGGATAACGAGTCCGGCTTTTATTATGAGTGAGTGTTTAGTTTTTGTCACATTTTATTATGTGTTTTGTTTGTAGTTTTTATTTATTTCGTTATTAATTGTGATTTATTTTGAGCAGCAATTGTCAACGAATAGACGCAATGGTGTCGACGGCTACTGACGATAAAAGTGCGCAACAGTTGTGGCAATTGAGTGAAGAGTTGGTCCGACTTGAAGATCACCTTAAACTTTCCAGCAATACTACTGGCAATTAATTAATTTTTTTAACAGTTAACTTTAATCCAGCGCAATATTTATATTTTAATTAATAACTAATCTATTTTGTTAAATAGCTATTAATGTATTTGTATTTTTATAAATACAGTATTAGAAAATATTAAATTTTAAAATAAATAAAATTATTTTAAACAATAAATCACCATTCTGAATATTTAAAAAACATTTATGAACTAATACTGACAATATTGCTGTGAGATACAAATAAAACTCACAATGATAAAACTTTAATTATGTCTATAACAATGATAATAGTAATAATAATTTATTACCTTTATGCAAACTTGCATAGCGTAAAGAATATTCAATTGTATTTATGCAACAAAACAGTCCCTTATGCACTTGAAAATTGAACATGCGCTATACTAAACCTGTACTTCATGGTTTAGTGCACCGAATATTTACAATTTAATAAAGCTACATGCATTTAAAAAATCTTATAAACTGTGATGTTATACTCTTATTAATTTGCAAGTTTATTTTGTCAATCAGTATTTAAAAGTATTTTATAATTCAATTAAAAGTTATAATTAATACAAATGAATAATTTTGCGTCTGTTATGCGACTGTTGGGAGAATTGCCGCAAACGTGGTTCCGATGCCGGCGTCGGTTTGCCGGTGGACGACGTCTGGACGGCCAGACTGTCATTATTACGGGCGCCAACTCAGGCATCGGCAAAGAGTTGGCGTATCAGCTCTCGCTCCGGGGGCCTAAGGTATGGACAGTACATTACAAATCAATACATATAATAGTTTCCATAGTTATCAAGTGCTTTTTATATCAAGAAAAACACAAACATGTTTTTAAAATGTATAAAGTTTATGTTTTTTGCTAAATATTTATATTTCATAATTTATAATTGTTTTTTATATGTATTAATTTTTTTTATATCATTTACTATTGATTAGAAAATAATAATCGGTTCGAGAAATCCGGAGCGAAACGAGAAAGCAGTGCGGGATGTGTTGGCCCGCAACCCGTCGGCCAACATAACGGCTCTCCGATTGGACTTATCGTCGCTGAAGTCCGTCCGCGAGTTTGCCAAAGCGGTGGCCGACACGGAGTCCAGAGTCGATATACTAGTCAACAACGCCGGCGGTCCGCCACCCGAGGGTCCCGACGCTCTCATGACTCTCGACGGCTACGAACACCAATTCGTAGCCAACTATTTGGGTAATTAGTAAAACTATATGTAATTTACATTACATCAACACCTTTATAAAAACCCAATAAATAACATTGTATGTAACTAACCATGGTAAATATTTAGGTCACTTTCTACTGTCGCTACATTTACTACCATTGCTGCGCCGGTCACCGGACGCCCGGATCATTAACGTGGCCGAAACGGGTCACATTTTTGGCAATATTAACCTGGATAACATTAACCTGGGTAACGGCGAGTACGGTCACATCAAGGCCCATTGTCAGGCCAAACTGGCCGTGGTGCTGTCCACCAGGGAAATGGCGCGACGAGTGGCCAGTACTGGTGGCAACAATACTGTCAAGACTTATTGCGTGAATCCAGGTATTGTCAACACTAGAGGGGGCAAAAATGTTGTGTCAGGGTGGTTGAAAGTGATTTTCATGTTGGGCATTGAAATGGGCCCACAGACCTACATGCACTGCGCTCTCGATGAGTCAACAGCCAATGAATCGGGCCATTACTACGAGTAAGTTGCTGTTATGACCATGTTTATATTTGTGTAACTAATATAATTTTGTTAATTAACTAATGTATTGTTTATGACGTTTAGTAACTGCCGGCGCGTCGATAGTATGCACAGTAAGACTGTCGACGACAAGATTGGACACCAATTATGGGAATTGAGTGAAGATATGGTTAAACTCGAAGATCAGTACAGACTTCCCAAACATGTTTGGCCACCAAAATAGTTAATGTCATAAACTATATAACATTTTAAATTTAATATTTAAGCATTTTATTAATATATTTTTATGTATTTTATTCTAATTTTATAACTTAAACTGAGATTGATGTAAATTATTAAAATTATTTTTGTAAATATTTTTATTAAAAACCTTTAAATATAAATAAAAGTACATTGACTATTCTAATAAAATATTGCAAAATAATTAATTACTAATAAGTTACTACAGATTAAAATATAATAAGACAGTGATAATAAAAGTTTTGTAAATAAAACACTTCATTATTATAAAGTGGGAATATCAAATATCAAAATTATTTACCTTGATCATTGAATTATATATTTACCTTTATCATAAATTATCAAACATATAAAAATAATTAATTTGGACTTTGTTGCACTAACAACTCTCGCTAATGTATACATGCGCTGTAAATAGCAAAATGTTATTTATATAGTCAACACATTGAACGAGCACTGGGTATTTGAAAACTACCAGTTCTTTGACAACATTGTTATCATGTTTTTATCATAACACACAAAAAACTGTAAATAAAACATTTTTGTGTTTAATATTTTTAAAAAATGTCAAATTATCATAATTTGGCATAATTATTTTCTTTAACTAAAAGTTTTAATAAAAATCTGTTATTTATTGTCTTACTTAAATAAAGGCTAAATAAAAATAAAAGTATTTTGTCCACAAAAATGAACAATTTGTTGGCAACACTGGGAATGTTATCAGAATTGCCGCTAACATTAGTGCGGTGTCGGCGCAGGTTTACGGGTGCCCGGCGTCTGGACGGCCAGACTGTGGTCATCACTGGCGGCAACGCAGGCATTGGCAAAGAGGCCGTCTATCAGCTATCACTTCGGGGGCCAAAGGTATGGCTAAAATTTAATGTTTTATTATATTTTTTTGACATTTTTGACAAAAAAAACAGAAAATAATAATCGGTTCGCGAAACGCGGAAAACAACGAACGGGCGGTACGGGAGCTGATGGCCCGCAACCCGTCGGCCAACATAACGGCCCTTCGACTGGACTTATCGTCGCTTCAGTCCGTCCGTGAGTTCGCCAAAGAGATCGCCGGCACTGAGACCAGAGTCGATGTACTCATTAACAACGCCGGCGGTCTCTACCGGTTTACGGGGTCACCGGTAGAAACAGTCGACGGTTACGAACAACAATTGGTGACCAATTATTTGGGTAGTTATTTAGACAGTATTTATTTTATACTATTTTTTATATTAAGCATAATTAATAATTATAATCATGATCATTTTTTTAAGGCCACTATTTACTATCGCTACACTTACTACCACTGATGCGCCGGTCGCCCAACGCCCGTATCATTAACGTGTCTACCAATGGTCACGTGTTCGCCGATGTAAACGTGGAAAATATTAATCTACGTAACGGTGCCTACGGAGCCATGAAAGCACATTTGCAAACAAAACTGGCCCAGGTACTATTTACCAGAGAAATGGCCCGTCGACTCGGCCCCGATAGTACTGTTAAGACCTATGCGATTAACCCGGGTATTGTCAACTCCAGACCAAGTAGCAATATTGTTGAACGCTTTTTTAAAGCCTTACTATCACTGCCCATCGATATGGGCCCCCAGACCTACCTCTACTGTGCCCTCGATGAGTCATTAGATAATGAGTCTGGCTTCTTTTACGAGTATGTATTAATATTGGTAGTTCTATATTGTTGTTGATTTACATTATGGTAATTATATTTTACTTGTCATGTTTAGTAACTGTCGGCGCGTCCAACGTATGCACAGTAAGGCTGTGGACGACAAGACTGGACATGATTTGTGGCAATTGAGCGCCGATATGGTTAAACTCGAGGCCGAATACGTCATTTAAATGATGATAAAATCTATTATAATTTTTCTTATTAAATAAATTATTTATTCATTGATTAACTGATATATACTTTTCTGTGTAAGTTTTGTGCGATTTTTGTATTAATTTTATTATTAGTTTTAAATTTGAAAAATATAGGAATTATTTTATAGTAAATACTAAATTGTCATTACTATCTGTACATAACTGTATGATATTTAAGCATATTTAATTATTGTCTATGTACATAAATTTTTTATTAAAGCCATTTAATCAGGTGTAAATGTAAATTTAAAAAAATATATTTTAACACTGTAATTTATTTGTAACTTATAATTGTATATTTAACGTTGTACCGTTAAATATTTTAATAAAAACTTATGTTTAATAAAATTACTATGGTTAAAGAATTGTTTAAAAATTATTGCACTTCATATAATAAGTCATAAACATTATATAATTATTAATTAGAGTAGTGTAGGTAAAACACTTTAAATGATAAAGGACAATATCGAATCCTCGGGCAAAATCATACGTGGGAGGTGCCACGATTTTCTCGGTGCCAATCGATAGATCTCATGATAACAAACAATAGTTATAATTACGTCGACCCGATCCGAGTGGGACATGACCTCCAAATCGGGTCCCGAAGTGACCAATATTTCGGGTGTTGTAAAAGTGTATTATTTTGCACCAAAGCATGTCATATGATATATCAATGGAAAGGTCTCGTCGAGGTGATCAATAGTCGTGATATCTAAACAACGGTAAACTCGATTGAATTTTAAAAATTTTAAAAATTTGAAATATCCAGCCTGTATCGAGATTCGAACCAGCGACCTTTCATACAAAGACACCCCATCATCACCACTATCATCATCATCTACACAAACTGCCCCACTCAATCAACCCTCACTCCCCTCACCCAATCAACCTTCACTGCCCCCACCCAATCAACCTTCACTCATCCCATTTAATCAACACACCTTAAATACTGCAGCCATAGGCGCAGATGACAATCCTGCAGCCATAGGCGCAGATGATAATACTGCAGCCATAGGCGCAGATGACAATCCTGCAGCCATAGGCGCAGATGATAATACTGCAGCCATAGGCGCAGATGATAATACTGCAGCCATAGTGATCGCAATATTTCCATCATGTCTTCAATATATCCCGATTGAAAATCACAAATTTTCCGCCATAGGCGCAGATGACAATCCTGCAGCCATAGGCGCAGATGATAATACTGCAGCCATAGGCGCAGATGATAATACTGCAGCCATAGGCGCAGATGATAATACTGCAGTCATAGGCGCAAGTAACAATAATGTTTTTGCAATAAATAAATAAATTCAAAAAAGCTCAATTATTCATTATAACTTCAATTCAGTACGATATAACTCCATAATAATTATGTACATTAATTGCACGACTAAAGACTTTCCGTAACGAGAACACGTCTTCGTTCGTCATGGTAGAAACAGGTATATTCCTGGCTAAGTTCTCGGTAAAGTTGTGCAAATGCCATGATGGCGGAAAATTTGAATAACGTTTTCAGCAGCCAAGCGGGGTGCTCACGCCCTGCGAGGTCTTGTCAGCTAGTGAGGCGGTCTGACTGTACGATTCCAGCAGTTACCGTTCCAATCAATACTATGGATCAACCACTCAACCAATCTTCGGATTCGTCAACACCTCAAAACTCTATACCAGATCCACGAATGGAAACTGATAGTGAGTCAGAGCAAAATACATTTGATATAAATAAATGTATTGAATGTAAAGTGAGGAAAAATAAATTCAAACGAATTAAATATTTGACCGATAGTCATAGTCTTTCGCACTTTCAATATAGACATAGTGATAGCGAGAGCATTATTACAGAAAAGAATTTCGTTTGCGATAAGTGTCGAAAGAAATATTATAAAGAAACGCAAACCTCAACACAAGTTTCACAAAATATAGGTGCTCACAATTCAAATGACAATTTAGATCAAACCACTATTAAACTGAATTTGAATAGAGGATCTGTCAGTAGTACGAGTTGTACATTCGGATGTGAAAGCAATATGTCACAAGTGTTAAAATTGGTGCCAAAAACGGTGAGATCAGAAATATTTATCAATCACAAATACTATATTCCTAATCAAGCGAAATGCTGCGAAGAACATCTCGTAGAACGAAATTGGGGATCATATATACAACGATCTCTTTGTGATTTTCAATCGGGATATATTGAAGACATGATGGAAATATTGCGATCAGAGCTTATTAAGACTCAAAACAAATTATCAGAGCAGAAAAATTGTATTAAATTTGAGCATTATGAAGAGATAAATGATAAACTTTTCATGTCATGGGTCGGATACTCAAAGATTGAGTTCAAATCAATTATGTCTTCAATAACTATCAATCATTGTAAGCGCCCAACAACAGCATTAGCATTGTATTTGTCTAAACTACACACAGGAGAAACAAATGAAAGGTTATCTCTAACATTCAATGTTCCTTTAACAACAGTTCATGATTATATGGAAATGGCGAGAAATGCAATGCATAAAGACTTCTATTCGAAACATATTTTACGGTCGAGGTCTGATATAATTAAAAATACCACAAATATGTCACTCAATTTATTTTCGCCCAACAATCTGACCGACAGAGCAATAACCATTTGGGACGGCACTTATCGCTATTTGCAAAAAAGTACTAATTATACATTCCAACGATTGTCATTTAGTGCTCATAAACATCGACCACTTTATAAGCCACTGATCGGAATCACAACAAACGGACGAATTATCTCATGTTCAGGGCCGTTTCCTGCTAATAAAAGCGATTCTGATCTTTTAGAATCAACATATAATGATTCACCTGATTTAAGATCTTTATTTAAAACTACAGATATCTTTATATTAGATAGAGGCTTTCGAAATGCCAAACCATTCCTTGAAGGAAAAGGCTTTGTTGCCAAAATGCCACATTTTATTGACAAAAACGAGAAGCAATTATCATGTATACAAGCAAACGAATCGCGATTAATTACTAAAGTAAGATTTGCCATAGAGGTGATAAACGGGAAAATACAACAGCAGTTTAAATACTTCCGCGAAAAAGGATCGAATCGTTGTTTGGATCATGACTTTTGTGATTTTCAAAATGCTTGTGCATTAATTAACGCATTTACCCCACCCATTATATCAGATGAAAATGCGGATCAAATGATAGCAAATAGATTAATATCTCGATTAACAAAACCTAATCTTATCAGTTCATTTGTCAATGAAAATAAACTCAATAGAAAGGCGGGCCGTTTTATTAAAATGTCTGAAGATATTATGCCTAATTTCCCAATACTTTCAGAAGATAACTTATATACAATAGCATCTGGCAAATATCAAAGGAAACAGGCATTATCTTATTATGCCCAACAATTAAACAATGATTCTAATTTCGAGATACAAATATCAAAAGACAATGAATTGGGTCAATTGACTCTATCTGGTATCACTGTCACCGATCCGTATTTACTGCGAGCCAGAATTAACTCTCGTTTTAGTAATAGTGTGCGATACTTTGCATACATTTTAGTTGATTTATCTGAAGCTGGAGTTGATTCAATAGTTGAATACTGTTGTGGATGCAAAAATGGGCTGAGAACTGCAGGCTGTTGCGCTCACGTAATGACAATATTATGGTATTTAGGTTGTGGTCGACACGAACTATCAATACAAGCGCCAGCCCAAGGGTTAAATGATTTTTTCGCAGACATTGTTGGTAGTGACAGTGAAACAGATGAATACGATTACGAAAATGATTAATTTTATATTTAAGAATTAGTAATCGAACAGGATTTGTCTTTAATTAATAATTCACATGAATTCTTTTACACAATATAATCGCATAATATTTAATTTCATTAAATATTTAATTATAACATATCTCATTCCATATAATTTCATAATATATAAATTCATAAGTGTTCTCCTCGTATAATCTAATCATATAAAATACATTGTGTTTTCATTATTATATTATAAATTAAACTAATTTTGGTTTCAAATAAACCCCCTCTCATATTGAGAGGGACTCTCCCAAAGGATCACCTCCGCGTGGTGGGAGAGGGGCAACGGCAAAGTTATGTGCCGGCTAACGATCCGAAAAGAAAATACAAATGTTTGTTTTATCAGTGTATAATATAAAAGACAAAATAGCATTGTTTTCTTTGAGTCCCGTTCAAAATAGGGAGCAATACAAAGAGTGATAAAAATGATTGCCACTATTATTAGAATATCGCAATATCATCTCTATAGGGTGCATAGATTTAATGTTATTTTACTAATTATATCCAAACATCAAGTTTTAAGTAAATAACATAAAATCTATTTAACATACCTATGTGAAATTGTGATATTCTAGTTCTACATTAAATTCTACATTAATTTCATATATCACATATTAGTATTGGATAAGTTGAATTTTATCGATAAAAGTGGTCACTGCGGCCAAACCCGTGGTGGCCCAACAATATGGACTATACCCGGGGACTTCTTATTTTATGTACGTTCATGTTATTCACCTCAGCCGATTAAATAAACAATATCTATGTAATTAACATTTAAATCTGTTGTTGGTCAAATTATGCCATTACTAACAGTTCAAGCGAGTTTACCGTTGTTTAGATATCACGACTATTGATCACCTCGACGAGACCTTTCCATTGATATATCATATGACATGCTTTGGTGCAAAATAATACACTTTTACGACACCCGAAATATTGGTCACTTCGGGACCCGATTTGGAGGTCATGTCCCACTCGGATCGGGTCGACTTAATTATAACTATTGTTTGTTATCATGAGATCTATCGATTGGCACCGAGAAAATCGTGGCACCTCCCACGTATGATTTTGCCCGAGGATTCGATATTGTCCTTACAACACATATAAAAATATTAACCATCATCAACATGTGATAAATGTTGATAGTTTATTTGGACTTGTTTTGTACTAACCACTCTAGCTAAAGCTATAGTGTACATGCGCTGTAAATAACATGCACTAACCGTATTGAGTGCATCTACGCCTACATTGTATAGCAAAATGTTATTTATATAGCGAACACATTGTACGAGCACTGGGTATATTAAAACTACCAGTGCTTTGCTATCAATTCAAAAAAAACTGTAAACAAAACATAAACCAGTTTTGTGTTCAATATTTGAAAAGTTTTACATTATTATAATTTCTTGTTATACTTTTAAATTAAAACTTTTAATTAAAATTTTATAATTATTATCTTAAATAAGTATATTGTGTCCACAAAAATGAGTAATTTGTTGGCAACACTGGGAATGTTATCGGAAATGCCTCTAACGATGATTAGGTGTCGGCGCAGGTTTACGGGCGGCCGGCGTCTGGACGGCCAGACTGTGGTCATCACTGGCGGCAGTGCAGGCATTGGCAAAGAGGCCGCGTATCAACTCTCGCTGCGGGCACCGAAGGTATGGCAAACATTTGATACTTTATTATATTTTTAGCATATTTTTAACGTCAAAGTAAAAAGTTTAAAACAAAATTAGTAATTTGTAAAAACACTAACACTTATAAATTGAAACTCGTTTAATAAACAATTGAACTGCAAACTGATTAAATGCACGTTAATAAATAAATGTTAGCTAAATGTCTAAATGTTACTTACAACCTTGTTAGGTTTAGTTTTATTTTAAAACTACATTTAAATTACAATTAAAACTTTTATTATAAAACATTATAAACAGAAAATAATAATCGGTTCGCGAAACGCGGAAAACAACGAACGGGCGGTACGGGAGCTGATGGGCCGAAATCCGTCGGCCAACATAACTGCCCTCCGACTGGACTTATCGTCTCTTCAGTCCGTCCGTGAGTTCGCTAAAGAGATCGCCGGCACTGAGTCCAGAGTCGATGTACTCATTAACAACGCCGGCGTACCTGTGGTTACGGGACCGCCGGTTGAGACTGTCGACGGTTACGAACAGCAATTGGCGGCCAACTATTTAGGTAATTAATTTGGACCATGTTGTTTTTATAACACCTATATACATTTATAACATCTTATAACATTCTTATAACATCATAAAGTTAACTTGATAAAATTAACTTATATTGATAAAAGTTAAATAAATGTTTACTAGACATAAATTGTAATTACTATTTGTAAAAGTTAACATGATTACTACTATTATTTGTAGGCCACTATCTATTATCGCTACACTTACTACCACTGATGCGCCGGTCGCCCAACGCCCGTATCATTAACGTGTCCACAAATGGCCACGTGTTCGGCGATATATACGTGGAAAATATTAACCTACGTAACGGTGCATACGGAGCCCTGAAAGCCCATTTGCAAACCAAACTGGCCTTGGTACTTTTTACGAGGGAAATGGCCCGTCGACTCGGTCCCGATAGCAACATCAAGGTCTACGCGATTAACCCGGGTATGGTCAACTCCAGGCCGGGCAGTAATATTTTTGCCCGCATTTTCAAAGCCTTACTAACACTGCCCATCGATATGGGCCCCCAAACCTATCTTTATTGTGCTCTTGATGAATTGCTGGATAATGAATCGGGGTTTTATTATGAGTATGTATTATTTTTGTTGTTTTTATGTTGAATTATATTATGGTAATTATGTTTTGTTCATTATGTTTAGTAACTGCCGGCGCGTCCAACGTATGCACAGTAAGGCTGTGGACGATAAGACTGGACATGATTTGTGGAAATTGAGCGCCGATTTGGTTAAACTCGAGGACAAATACGCTATTTAAATGATGATCAAATTTGTTTTGAGTTTTTTGATAGTTTTTTATGTTAAATACATAATTTATTCCATTATTATATGATATATTATTTTTTGTGTGCATTATTTTGTATTGATTTTAGCATTAGTTTTATTGTAAAGTTTCGTATTTATGATGACAAATATTTATTGAAATATAAAATATATTATAAAAAGTATTTTAAATGTTTTTAAGGCTTTTGTGTACATATGAGATGTTTTTATGCATATTTTGATGTATTATTAATATTTGCTTTCAATTGAAATAACTATTAAAATAACAAATAATAATTTATTGACGATTTATTTTGTATTTTATTATCAACAATATTTTAATGACAAATATTTGTGTTATTTATATAATTTAATATAACGTAGATTGAGTTTATATAACTGCTAACAAACACTTATAATTTAAAGATTATTATTTCTTTATCTATTATATATTTATTATATTAAAATAATTTTTATATTTTGAATATATGTTATATTCTATTATATAAATAATTAATTATCACGTTAAACTTTATATCAATTTTTATATAAAATTTTAATTAATATAATGCAATAAAACTTTGACGATCTTGGTAATAATTATATTCAGAACTGAGTACAATTACGTAAGAAGTTTTTATTTGGAAGTTCTAAAAGTGATTTTTAAATAAATATTTCAAATGCGTAAAACATAAATGTCATTTTATTTCAATTATAAATGTTTTATAAACCTAATAAAAGTCAAATTAAATCAATAGACAATATAATTTTATTATTTGCAAACCAATTAAAATTAGCTTAAATAATGTTATTATTACAAACTTATTATTTATAATCAGAAATCTCTAAAGAAATTACAAGTTTTAAATAACTTTTAGGAATATATAAAATTATAAAGTTTTAAATTGATTTATGACTTTATAAAATATAATGCTTAATAAGTATACTTTATAATAGGTGTTTATGTGCTCGAGAAATTGTCCTTGGGTATTTCGATTTATTATTGACAGGAGAAAGAAAGAAAGAAAGAAAGAGAGAGAGATGACATAAAAATCATTAATATTAGAGAGAGAGAGAGAGAGAGAGAGAGAGATGACATAAAAATCATTAATATTTAACTAAAACTTTTATTTAAAAACAATTCATACGAAACGCAACTCGAGATTCATTTGAATAATAAATTGATAGTTTTATATTGGAGTTATAAACTATATTTATAAACTGTATTTATAAGCAATTATAATTAAATATAAATAAATTAAAATGAATATGATTAAATTGGTCACTGTGTCCATAAGCGAGCTAGGTCGTATTGCTTTCAATCGGCTGAACATGTATGAAGGAGATCGGCGTTTGGACGGACGGGTAGTACTCATTACAGGAGCCAACACTGGGATCGGCAAAGAGACAGCACTTCAGCTATCGTTAAGAGGCGCTAAAGTAAGTTATTTACTTATAACTAGATAATAATGGATATTGTAATAGACTATTACTAATAGTAATTATTGTATTCTACATTCAATCAATCTATATTATTTGATATAACTTTAAATTAAGCTTATTAACAGATGTATTATAAAATTAACCATGATTATTTGTGACCAATAATTAAGGTAATAATGTGCTGTCGATCAATGGATAGGGGAGAGGAGGCGCTGAACGATATTAAAGCACAGAACCCATCGGCAGATCTGACACTATTTAAACTGGATTTGGCGTCACTTAAGTCCGTCCGACAGTTCGCCCAAACCGTTGGACAACAGGTGCCGAAAGTGGATATACTTATCAATAACGCCGGAGTGGCCGTCACTCCCGAGTGGAAAACTACCGATGGCTTTGAAATGCAGTTTGGCACCAATCATCTAGGTAACATATTGATTTAATATTATAATGTATAATGATTAAGCTAGCGAAAGGCTATGTGCCAATCTAGGTGCCAAAATAGTATTTTAGTCAAATGTAATGTACACTAATATGAGTTGGGGTTTAATAAAATGTGTGATTTACGCTTTCAAACCATTTACTTATATTTTAAGGGCAGGCAATTATTAGTTTAATAGTAACATGTTTAGTAGGAATCGGCCGAATTTTATTTCTAATGAATTATCATCAGAGAATTGCATTATAGGTGTTTATAAGACCCCGAATAGGCACTATAATAGGTAAGAAAAACACCCCAAATAGGTACTCAAATAGGCATTTATTTTTTGACAAAATATTATAAAAATGAGGTAATTATACAATCAATTATAAAAACAATGAACAATTAAGTACTGATTTAGATTCTTTTCTTCAAAACACAGACGATTATCACTTAAGACTAGTTTTAATTGTGAAAAACTTCGCTCAATATCGCAGTCAGTAATGGGACAACACTTGAATAGAGATACTTCTTCTGGAGTTAAATC